TGGGGCTGTGCTCAGTTCACCACACATTGTTTCCACTGCTCCTTTCTCCTCAGGGAGAGGACTCCTCATATACTTCCCCTGCTCCAGCATGAGATCTCTTCCACAGGAGACAGTCCTCCATGAGTCCTTCCAATGGGCTGCAGTTCTTCATGAACTGCTATAGCAAGGATCCCTCCCATGGGATGAAGTCCTTCAGGAGCAGCCTGCTCCATCCCAGGTCTCTTGCGAAGTCACAAGTCCTTCCAGCAAACCTGCTCCAGAGTGAGCCCCTCTCTCCATGGGTCCACACGTCCTGACAGGAACCTGCTCCAGCATGGGCTTCCCATGGTCACAGCCACCTTTGGGCATCCCCCTGCTCCAGCATGGGATCCTTCATGGCTGCAGGTGGATATTTGCTCCACTGTGGACTTCCATGGGCTGCACCATGGGCTGCAGGGGAATATCTGCTCTGGTTGCTGGAGCACCTCCTTCCCCTCCTTCTTTGCTGGCCTTGGTGTCTGCAGGGCTGTTCCTCTCACATAATCTCACTCCTCTTTTCTGTTGCAGTTGCACAGGGCTTTTTTCCCCCTTCTTGAATGTGCTGCTACCACTGCTGCTGATGGGCTCAATCTTGGCCATCAGTGAGTTTGTCTTGGGGCTGGCTGACCTTGCCTCTTTTGGACATGGTGCAACATTCTGACAGCTTCTCACAGAAGCCACACAATACCAAAACCTTGTCACACAAACCCAATACAATTAGACAGTATAAAACATGACTTATGGGTATTGGAAAATGTTGTGATCCATATGCCGTGATCAACCCAAACAAATAACTTCAGTCATATGAATGTCTGTAAAATCCAAGCAAAGGGAAAAATTCAAATATATGTGTCCTTCTGTCTTAAAATAATACCTGCAGGTAACTGCTGGATGTGACACTGGAGAGCAGAAAATTACAAAAATTGTCATTTTGTCGTGACTAGAGAAAGAACTCTTCCAGGATCTAATTTTTCACGTTAGTTGTCTCCTCCCTCCAAAATTTCAAAGCAAGACTACTGCTCTGCACTAATATGTATAAGTTACTGATATTATTATTCAGAATAGTGCCAGTGGGGTCTGAGCATGATGTAAGGCAACTCACAGTACTTGAGGATGGGGTTGAAAACTATGACCTGCTCACAAAGACTTGTACAAAATGCTCTGGCAAAACTGTTTTTCAATTGAAAATGGGGTTCTGGTTCAATAAATTTTCGTGAATGTGTTTGTCTCTTTATTTCAGGGAATGTAATTCCTCTTCTAATTGATGGTTTCAGTCTTTTGCTACAAAATCAGAATCTTGAACCAAATGTTTCTTGATTGAAGCCAGGAGAGATTAAATGTTACTTTTTGATTAAAATAAATAGATTTTTTTTTTTAAAGAATAACCACCTTCAACTTTTATATTTAGGACTACTGTCAGATTTTCTCACCCTACCAGGCCATTATGAATTCAAAATCCTGATCTATAGCTTGTCTATCAAGTTTGTGGGATCTGCAGAAGCGTACCTGCAAAAACTCTTTCACCTGAAATGAGGTGATCCAGGACTTCAGCTGTATTGGAGAAGTTTCCAGTCTTGTATTGTAACAAGCTGTATATTTTCACCTGTTGAAATAGCTCTCCTTGAATGTCTCTAACTGAAAAACTGCTGAACACTACATAATTTGCCTGCCTGTTAGCATCTGGTAATATGAACAGTGCTAATAAGCCAAGAAGCATTTTTGTTCTTCGCAGTTCTTTTGGTTAATAATAAGCCAGTCTGCATCATGTTGTGTAGAGAAAGCCTTGAGGCTCAAGATCACTAAACTGAAAAGATGGTCACAAATTTTTCCAGACTGACAGATTAGAAAAAAAGGGATTAGAAAAAAAAGGGATAAAGGAGTGCAAAGAAATATCAGGGAAATATTTTTTTCTGCTTGGAATATTTTTATTTGACATTCACCTACTTTCAAGAAGCTATCCTAATTCATGTCTAGTCCAGGTTTATCCCCTTGCCCTGCTCCCACCTCACGTCACCTAACAATAAACCTGTACATGGAGAAGAGGTATTGCCCATACCTGAGGACGTGTTAGCAAGTGGACTTCTCAGGGCTTTGTGCATGGGAAGATGCTTGCACAACCTACTGCCTGCCTGCCTTCCTGGAGGGAAGCTGCATCCTGCACAAGGATGTGGAACTGTCTCCACCTCTTAGTATGGATCAGCCCCAGCACTTAAATGATGCATTCTGGTTAGACTGACACGGGGTGGGTGAGACCCAGCTCTTTTGCCTCTCACTGCTGCAGATGCTTTTGGCTCTGCTGGTCACTCTCATCTCTGCTTACTTTTAGTGGTGACACCATCTCCTAGCACGTTTATCTGTCCTGTTTGGGACAGTTGCTTCACCAGGAGACAACTGAAACCTAATATCCCTGTCTACTGTTTATAAAGTGGGCTAGGACAACTAGCTCAGACAGAGAAGTGCATAGTGGAAATACTGAGGAATATGAAGATATAGAAACAGTTGCACAGGTCAGGCTGAAGATCCATGCTGTTGGGTATCCACTACCCAGCAGTGGCCAGGGAATGCCTAGCAAAGAAGAGATGAACAGGAAAACCACCTAGGGAAACACCAGGACACTTTCACTGGCATAAGTATTTCTTTGACTGCACTAAGATATCTGTTCACTCAATTGCTTGTCCTGGAGAGAACTGCAGTTGGGTCAGGTTAAATGTCACACTAAATTAATTCTGCAGCTGAAAACATCTGTGTAACAGGCAAAGCACTGATTATGAACCTGGGCCAGAGCTTTCTCAGGCAGTAGGGAATTTGAGTCAGCGGTCCCATTTCTCGGGAGAGTATTTTAGCTCCAGCCCTGCTGTAGTGGCAGATGGTTTTTTTGTGTCTCAGAACAGGGTCTTGGTCAGCCATACCTCTTTTTTTTTTCCACACTTATTCTTCACTTACAGCTAAAACAAACAAACAAAAAAATTCTCCCTTTTTTAAGGTTTTTATCTCCCTGTCAGTGAATGCTTTAAAGACTATTTTTCTATAATCCCTCTAGAGTGACTTTCCTGTCACCTTAAAACAGGCTCCGCCCTAGTCACAGCTTCTGTCCCTGCCAGTGACAGCTTCAGCTCAGGCAGCTCTGGGGTGTCCATCTCAACAGCCCGAACTGACATTTCTGATCTACTCATCAGCTGCAGCCCTAACCCCCTAACTTTCTAACATTATAAACTTCTTTTAAGAGCATCATAGAATTCATGCATCCATGGTGCAGCTCTTCTGTACTAATGAACACTTCACAAAGCACACCTGTAATCACCAATTACAGTTGTAAGCAATTTGCAAGACCTGTGTTTGTGTATGGTTAAGGAAAAAAGCCTTGATAGTCTGCAAAATTGAATCTGCCAAGCCTTGTGGCAAAAAAAAAATCAGTGTCTGACACGGCCACCTGTTTACACAGTGTGTCCCGGAGGCAAGAAGCACAGGACCTGACCTGGCTGATCACAGCAGGCTCCTGACCCAGGCTCTTTTACTGCTTGGGAAAAAAACAAACCAAACCAAAATAAAAAGAGCAACCAACCAAACAGAAACAAAACTCTCTTCAAGAGAGTCCAGGAACAAAGTCTGGTGCATCAACTTCCTCCAAGGACACCTTTCCACTGCAGAATGTACTTGTCCCCGGTCCTTGTGCATGTCAGCCAGTGTTTTTCATGTCTACACAGAGAAGCTGCAGGGAAGTCTAAGGAAGGACACTGTGGGAACAAGCCAGCAGCACCTGCATTCAGTTAATTAGAATCAAAAGGGAGTGTTTCGGCCTTGGAGCTGAGAAAGAGTGTGTAAATCAAAGCATTGAGTTTGCAAAAAGTCCTGGGAATTCTAGCTAACTGAATGACAACACCAGGTGCTGTTTACCAAAGAACTCTAATAAAGGGGAATGTAGAGACAGTTCTGTGGAGAATTCGGAAAACTGAATCATGCTGTGTGTGCAACCTCATTTCTTCATCGTCTATTGGACACCTTTTCCTCTGTGCTTAGCCACAGGTATACTTAGCATATACAGAGCAGGTGCCAGGGCTGGGGTAAAGGTCTTTGGGATAGGGGAATGGTCTTTGTGAGGGAGGCCAGGTTCCTTGGTGACCTGACTGAAGTGAACTTCTGTGTTGTTTCCTGAGGCAAGAAATTGCTCTATCTTCCCTAGCCCTGTAGACAGAAGTGCTTTCCTCTTTAGCTCCCTCTTTCCACCCTCTCCTGTCAGAGCCACATGGGTGAGCCTGTACTTGGAGACATGCAGTGGCTGGTGGCTATCTGACAGATAGCTGGTGGCTATCTGTGGCAGAAGGTCACAAGTAAAGTCTAGGTGGAGGCACAAGGCATGTCATCCTTGATCTCTGTCATCCCATAAGGCAGCAGCACTTCCAGAGGGAGTTCACTGCTGGCACAGTGGAGACACCCTCTGCATGTGGTGGTTTCCATGAATTGCCTAGCTGCAGAAAGATGTTTGGGTGCCAGACAGCTAGTGCAGTTGGGGGATTGCACTATTTAGAAACATCCTGGAACATGGGAAGAGCTTCCTACACAAATGTTAATAGAAATCAAGTTAGCTGAGAAGTTGCCATCAGCTGGCTGTCCCAGGCTGCCCCAGATCAATAACTACTCAGTATTATATTAGCCGTGAGCTCTGAGGACAGGGGTGTTTACCATGTAATAGATAGAGTGATTTACTCAGGGGCAGTGACTTAAGTGAGAGTCTGAAAGAGCTGACTTTCATAGAAGAGGCTGTAGGCATCTCCTGTAGCATGCAAACCCATCCCCTGCAAGGGTGATCTTCCTCCAAGCCACAGTGGATCATGAAGGCGTACTTGTGGCAAACTTCTGGGACAGCCATATGTTACAGGTCAGAGAAGTCGCCCCCACTGTTGAACGTGTGAGAGTGATACCCTGACCACAGGGCAGCTGACAAATGGACATTTAGTGGGAGTTGAATACATGCCAATGACAAGATGGTAGGAAATGTGGCCGGTGGATACCAAGAGGATTCTCTCTTCCTACGGCAAAGGGACTATTGGTGGCTGACCGGGCATGGCATGACCTCTGTAAGGATCAGATAGGAGTGTTGCTTGGTCCCCCTGAGACCGTGCTAAGTGGCTGGTATGGCTCAGGCTCCAGGCACAGTCCCAAATGTCTGTGGGAAGGAAAACAGGCAAGTGAGGGACATGAGAGCAGCCCAATACATCCACATTCACACCTCACCCAGGTGAGGTATCACGTTAGCATCACCATTTGTATCAGACTATTGCTGCGACAGTGGCAGTGTTTACAAAAGAATTCAGGGTTTGGGCACAACTTCCCACTTCTTCTTTCTCTCAAAAATGTGTTGTTCATGCCTCTGCATTAGCAGACAGTGCCAAGTTAAAACAACAAGAGAAGTAGGCTCACAACTACAGATATCAAAGCCTGAGTTAGCTGTTCTCTTTGTGGCAGGTGAAGACACATGTGTTAAACACGTTGCATCCGTCTGCCTGGTGCTCATGTTGAGTCAGCGATTAGCAGAGGCCCTTTGCCTTTCCCATGCATGGCTCAGGTGTTGTCTCTGAGGGCTTGGCTGGCTGCCTGGTTCTTGAGGGGAAAAGCCTTGTGGAAAAAAAAACATGTGGTCTGCAGACGGCACCCCCTAGAGCCCGGCCTTGCTTCTCCTGCAGAGGGAGAATTAAAACATTTACAACTGTACACTCAGGAAGAAAAGAGGTGCGGGCAAGGCAGGCACATGGAGGCAGAGTGACTTGTGCCAGAGTCTGGTTTGAAAGGGGTGGCTGAGGTGGTGAGCAGCACATGGTGCAAGTAAAAGCCACTGGATGGCAGGAGGGAGAGCAGGAACTTTTGCTTTGCTGAATTCTAATGTGGACCCTTCTTCCCCTTTGACTCTTGGAGTGTCTAAATCTAACTCAATAACAAAGACATGAGGAGCTTGGGTGAAACCACAGGGAAGGGCACAGAGGGTGTTTGCATTGTGACCTCACCTCCAGAAGAGATGGTTTCCTTCCCATTGCTCCCTCTTGGCTCCTGCAAGGGCATCAGAGCCCTGGCAGCCCCACGTGTCCTGACTCCAGATGGGAAAGAAATCATAGACTCATAAAATGGTTTGGGGTGGAAGGACCTTAAAGATCATCTAATTCCAACTCCCCTGCCGTGGGCAGAGACACCTTTTGCTAGACCAAATCCTTGGCGATGATTCTGCATCCGCCCAGAGCTAATGTTTCATCTTGGGAAAAGTGTTAAATCCATCTAGGCTTTGAAAACGTACTGATATCAAATCTGAATTTAAAACAATTTATACATAGACCATAACATTTTAATGGGAAAAAATACACAGTCATTTCAAGCTTGAAGAGTTTAAGTAGTATGGTTTTGTATAAATGGCTGATATGTTATTTGTTTATTGGGCAATCTGCGTTTTTATATTGTTTGTCAGGCTATATAATTTTAGGTGAAAGCTTTTTAGCATGCTGCACCTATGAGAAGAACTTCCTTTACATACAGTTTTCTGCTCCAGAGTGCATAGAAAATAGACTGCTCGTTGCCGCCTTACACTCTTGCACTGTTAACCAGAACCTGGCTGCTCCATAAATTAGACAACCACATTAACAGTTCTGCTGCACAAATGAGCTGAGCACTAAATAGCTGATTTCATTTGAGGTTCACAAGAGGATCATTTAGGTTAAGGGGTTAGTTTTGTCAAGGGTAGCACTTATGTATTCAATTGGAGGTTTCCTAACCAAAACGGGGAGTAGGAAGTGGACATCAAACAAGAATGAGAGACCTGGTTTCTTTCACTGGGGTTAATTCTTGGGACAGGTACCTTCCTTCCCCTGAGCCTCTGCCTGACTTGTGCTGCTCTGGGTGTTTGGACTGCACATTACTCCAAGGGGAGGTTGTCTTCTAGGCTGGGCTGGTGTCAGAACAGCATGGCCAAGGATGGCTGTGGAGTTTCTGAAAGCTTCTTTCGTACAAGGTGATGTCTCACTTCCTTCAGTTGTTACGATGAAATTACTCTTGCCAAGGTTTCTGCGATGCCACGTGGATTTTATAGACTGTGAAAAACTGTTGTAGATGCAGTGTAGGAGAACAGTTTCAAATTGAAAGATCTAATGGTCATGCCTGGCTAGAAACCCAGTGGCTAGATGTTGCTCTGTTGAAGCCTACCAAGTGGCATTTTAAAGTCCAAAACCCAGTGCAGCCTCTCACTGCTGGCTCAAGCCTTCACCTGTTTCTTGGCAATGCAAACCACCTTTGTCAAGAGACAGTGCAGGCCAGCCCAGAGCCTTTACAAATTCAAATGAAGTGAGAGTAACCACTGTGGTACAATCTCCCTGCAAGTGACTGTCTTACAACCCCTGTGCAAGCACTGTGTACTCACTGTGCACCCTTTGGGCTCTCTCCAGGCTTGCTAAGAGTCCAGAGGTGTCCTTCCAAGGATCAAACCCCCAGTGCCTTTCTAACCAACCAGGAGAGACTCTTATCACTCGACTCTACCTCAAATAGTCTCCTAAATCACACTGAGTGTTTTCTGACTGCCACTTTTTAAAGCCTCCTGTTATTCCTAAAGCTTGGACCAAATACTGAGTTAATGATTACTGGCTGAAGTTTCAGTGGTTAGTTTGAGGGGACAACCTTTTCCAGCCTTCTGGACACCTGAGGCAGGACATTTAATCAATGTCTTTGTCCTTGTCAGCTGATGCATTAAATCAGGTGGTGTTCAAGTACATAAAATCATTTCAAGCTTTGACAATGTGCTTTCCAGTGTGCAGGTAAGGAGCAATAAAACCTACATGCATCATTCAGTGAATAACAACCTAGTCAAGCTTTCATTTAAATGTGCAAATCTATACCCATTATGTGTGTACAGCTCATCATCACTTCATAAAGATAGTGATTTTTTTCTAGTCTGCTATGTAACTGTGGGTTTAAATCAAAGCTTTTTGAACTTGAGCTGGACTTGCAAATCTTATGCAGAAATAAATATATAAATACTGAGCAGAAATGGTATACAAATCAAGGAAATAAATATACAATTAAGGGACTGGGAAATACTAGATGGAAATATAATTAAGAAGATTAGGATAGAGAAAGAGAAAATGAAAGAGAAAGCAAATGAAAGAGAAAGTGGGGAAACACAAGGTAAGGCAAGGGGCAAGAAAGGCAAGCAGGTGAGTTTTGCAGATAAGTGGAAATATTCGAAGCTACATGGATCCATAGTATGTCTAAATTGCACTTAAAAGAGTATATTATACATAAATAAGAAAAGCTAAGAGATTATATACTACACAGTAAATATTTAGATTCTCTTTTACACAGAGGAAAACAGTGCCCATTGTTGCTGAGCAAGTGAGCAATCCATATTATTTAATTGGTTCTGCTTATTTTTGTGTTGGTGAATTATCTATAAAGAAATTTTAATTTCTTTTCTTCATTTTTTAAATGTGAGAGGTCCTAAAAACTTTTCGTAAGGCGAGTGTCTCTTAATTAAAAAAATATGCAATTATTTAAATATTTAGAATTCAAACTTTTTAATGACCAAATGAACATGTAATGTGTAGATACTTTTCCCTTGTTGGATAAACACAAGAACTAGACCTCTTGCACTGTATTACACAGACAGGGAATTACAAGCAAGGAAGCTGACTGAAAGGCTTCAGTTCATACCACATCTACATACTCTTCGACGTGGCATTTTGTCTACTGCCCTCCTCCTGTTCTTTCCCAGGGCTCCTCTCTTGTCTACAGTATGTTATAGCAGAACTCAGTTAAAAGAATTCTGCATTTGTTCTACTTTGCCTCCTGAGGTCCTTGAGTTCAAGATTTAATCACTGTTGAGGCGTGGGTTTCCTTCTGGTCTTCTTTCTAGCGCTGTTTGGGTGCTGTGAACCTTACAGACTCCACAGAGAGAAGTGCTAGGAAGAGGACCAGAAGGAAACCCATGCCTCTGTCCTCTGAGCATCAGTGCTATAAAATCAACAGTGACAGCCCTAGGCTGTTGCGGTATCAGTTATGGAGGGAAGAATGAAATCTGATGCCTTGATTTTCAAATGGATTTCAGTCATTGCACAACCATATATATACCTCCTGAAATCCACATTAAGTCAAGTATGATTAGGCTAAAACTGCTCAGAAGTGCTAGTGGACCCACCAGCTACAAAAAAGCCTGTGTGGACAGCACTGGAGGGGGTCAAGACACTTCCAGAGCCCAGTTCTTGTAGCACTGCACGTTCACAACCAGATTTCCCAAAAGTTTCCCCTTCTCTTGGGAGTACCTCAAGCTGCTGCAGACCAGTCACCCAGAAAAGTAAAGTGTTTGCAGCTGGAAACCCTTTATGGAAAATTTAACCCAAGAGATTCATCAAGGTTACATTATGTCCCTTTTGTCAGACCTACTGGAGCACCCAGCAGCTCAGTCCAGGTCCTGCTTCCCACTTGGGCAGAGGGCTGGTGAGAGCACATCCTCTTCTCTCCTGACCTCTACACCCATGATTTTCCCTGTGAGCAGGGACGGGGAAGTGGAAAAAGGTCTGGTTGGTGCACTCTTGGGTCTCACCCAGAGCTGAGCTGGTAGCATGCCCAAACCCAGACCTTAAAATGCCTTCTTCGGAAGGGTGAGCATCTTACACATCTTTTGCATAAATCACCTTCCTCCTCCATGCCCAAGGTTGGAGGATGGAGTATATCTCCCAGCTTTTCAGCTATTGGGTTCAATATCACAACTGCCAAGCAGTGAGCTGTCATTCAGTCCTGAGGACCAGGGCAGGGATCTGCTCACTGTTGTAAATGGATTGTAAAGGACTTAGCTGCTAAGTGATGTGCAGCAGTTCAAACTTCGACTAAATGTAGGCAACTTTGCACAGAGATTGGCCTGGGGAGACATTGCTGTGTGACAACATCCCAGCAGGACTTCTAACATACTTAAATCCAGCAAAGAAACACAGCAGCTAAGAAAACAGAGCAGGAAAATTCTGTGTCGAGTTGCTGTCTCAAGGTGTCAGCTATTCGTCACTGTTGTTTGGAGAGACTTGCAGAGGAGGCAACAACTCGCACGCCCTCTCCACACAGCCAGCTGCCGGGCGTCAGAGTTTCCCAGCTTCCCTTTCGTACCTGTACAAAAAATTTTAAGGAAAGTTTCCCCACATGTTTGGTGAGAGGTAGAGATATAGAATGGAAAATTTCAGCTCAAATGGTTGAAGTCAGGCAAAGTTACAAAGGACAAACAAGAGGGGAGTACTACGGTGAGAACTGCCAGGTGCCACCTGGCCAGGTTCTGTCTGAGCCCCAAACCTGACATGCCTCAAAGAGTCTGGGGTTTTGGGGAAAAATTAAGCAGGCAAGGGATGTGAGGAAGAATTCTTTCAGGGTTATGATTCTGCCCTGAATTCCTTTTGCTGTAACTATCTGAATATATATGTATATGTGTGTGTGTGTGTGTGTACATATTAATTTTTTCTACTCCTATCTGATATAATAGACATTAATTGGAAAACAGAAAGTTGTGTGAGGCAGACAACATGAAATAGCTGTGTTTTCAGCGGGAAGGTTCACAGTATTCAAAAGTAATTCCTCAACTCTTCTTACAAGACAATGAAATTGTGTTTCCCATCCCTATCAGAAAATAAAATCATTAATATTGGGGGACACAGAAAAAAAATTTAAAGAGTGTAAAATAGAAAGAGTAAAAAGAGATTACGCATATAAGACCCTCTGCTATTCTCAGACTTCCCAACGCAACTTCCCTATATATTTGCTAAACAAGGTCTTATTCAAAATGGCTTACATAAACTTGTCTTCCTGCAGTTCAAGCTGTGGCCCACGCCTGCAGTGTGAAGAAGCTGATGCACAGTGGGAAGAGCAAACTGGAGCTGCTGTGTGCCTATGCTGAATCACTCTGAGACCTAAAAAAGCTTCTTGCCAAAAAAAACCCAAAACTGATGAACCAGTCTTACTTTAGGGCAGGTGGAATAATTCATGCTCTCATTTTTATCGTTAGTTCTGAGAGGGAAAGACTGATTTGTTTTCACATGGTTATTGATTATTAACCAGCTTTGTGAAAGGTTACCTTTCTGCTAGATACAGCCATGGTGGGGGGTTAAAAATCAATCCCTGGGAAAGCTCTGTTTCCCAGTCAGCTTCTTCTCCCACTGTGGTCCCTTGTCACAGATACAGTTTTCCCGTGTTGGTTTGAGCACAGATGAGAGAGAAAAATGAGAGAGAAAAAGATTATCATGAATATGTTTCACTCACTTTCATTACTTCTTTTCTGTCTAAATGTGGATTCCACAAAAGGTGTTAAGCACTGAGAAGTCGTTAAATATTATACAGATATAGAAAGTCAAACCAGATTACTTTAGAGAATTGTGACTAAACTGTACTCCTTACTATTTTATACCCTAATTAGACAGTCAGAGTGGTGGGAAGAATGAGGAAACTATCATTGGTCATAAAGTAAAGGGAAATAATTTAGTAGGGGTTCACAAATTACTTGCATTGAAAGGCAAACGAAATGCTCCTGTCACCTTTCCTAGAGGAAAAAAGTTATACTGCATCCAGGTGGTTTTACATTTCACTGATCTCAGCAGCCTGTGGTGATACCTGTCAGATACTACTGGGGAAGAAGTGGGCAAGACTTCCAAAATACAGTGACTCACATTAAGCCCCTATATTAACCAGTTAAAGGTGAGAACATTGAAAATGCCCTTGAATTTCAAGAGGCATGTTGTACATGTTGGCATATATTTTAAAACCACATAGATATTGCATTAAGTAAGTGACTTTGCTTTGCAAACTCCTCACTATTCAGAGAGATTTATATTATATTTCAAATGTTTAGGCTTCATATAATACAGAATAAGACTAAACCACACAGATTGCCTCTTCTCTGTCAGGCGAAGAGCAGGCTAGAGAATGTGATCAGATCTTAAAAAGTCCTTAAAACATACTTGGTAATTCAAGTATTGCAGTGCAGTTATTTTGTGATCTTACTGCAGGATGGCAACAGCTGAGTACCTGAAACATTTGTTACTGGTGCTCGAATACATAAATTCCTGCGCTTGTGTTGAGGATAATTACAACTTGCTGTCCTACTTAACATTGCTGCTGTCACCACCATCCTTCAATTACTCATATAGAATCATAGATTCATTTTTGTTTAATCTCTTGGAAGAGCAAGTTTAATATAAGAATTTTTATTTATGCAGACAAATATCTTAAGGATGAGTGTCAGAGGATGGGGCCAGACTTTTCAGTGGTACCCAGCAACAAGACAAGGGGCAATAGGCACAAACTGAAACATGGAAAGATCCATTTGAATATGAGAAAATACTTCCTTGGTTTGAGGTTGACAGAATACTGGGACAGGTTGCCCAGAGATGCTGTGGAGTCTCCTTCTCTGCAGATATTCAAATCTAGAGGTTTTTCTCAGCCTGAACTACAACTGTATTGTAACGGTTGTGGGACCATGCTCACGCATCAGAGACAAAAGTGAGCTGAAAGTGTGAACTTTCCAGCTCATTGATAAAGCTGGGCGACCTAAACACGCAGGTCATAAATATCCCCAATTGTGAGGGGCTTCTAGAGTCCTTAAAAACTTCCTAGAGCAGGTAAAATACAGGACTTCCAGCTGAACTGCAGCATATGTCCAGACAGGCTTTAAGGTGAGGGAGAATCTACCTCATCCATTATTAATTTGTTTTAGTGTGCAACGTGTCCCTTACTTTTCTGTTTTCAATAATTAAAACTTGACTGTACATCTATCAGTGGTAATAATATTTGTACCAGACATCTTTTCTGTGCATGGTTACTTTCAGACTGAGGACGGCCGAGTTTCCTGTCACTCCAAGCCTGTCAAAACCAAAGACTTGGGGAGTAAGGACAGGGTAAATTCTCAGCAGAGAGATGAAAATATATAGACAGGAGACTCTGGGCTCACCATTCAAAGTCTACATGAGAGCTAGAGGAAATGATGCACCTTTTAATTTCTTACATTTTGCCTACACATCTCAAGGCTCTTCTTGTTGGAAAATTAAGACTGATTAAATGCAGCCAGGTGCAGGGTCAGCAGTGTCACACACAGCAGCACTTAATATGGGGAACCCTTCACCACAAAGTGGTGGGAGGCAAAATGTTTGCATATGGTTCCAGGGGAGAGCTAAAGTGTGGCAAAGTCATCTGAGGACTAAAACATTCACAGTGCTCAGGAAATTCTTGGAGTAGAAAATTCTGGGAGTTTGGTAGAAGATATTTGGTGTCTTATCTCATATGCAGACCCTGCTGCGACTGTCTGAGGTGATGTGTATGGATGCAGCGATGTCTGCAGAGCCCGGATCTGAGGCAAGCAGGGACATTGGTCATTCCCATCACTCTCACCTGCCTCTTCCATCGCTCTTTTTCCACATCAAATGGGTACTTGGATGGGACCCACTGACAGTTCAGAAACTTCTCCTGGGAACCCACAGCTGTGGAAGGACTCTTAAGCCAAGTATCAGTGATTGTATCCCAGGACGAGGAGGAGGAGGCAAGCAGCGGAGATCCCTGGGCTCGGGCTCCAGCTAGGCTCAGCTCCTCATCCCGTGGACCCCCGGCTGCGGGACACCACCACCCCAGGGCCTGGACGGGGTCCCCAGTGCCGGGATACCCAGCGAAGCCCTTTTCCTGCACTGCAGCTCACCTCCTCGTTGTTAGAACGGCAAAGCGTGTCCTTATCGACTGCTCACGCAGGCAGAATGAAAGAGAATTAGCTCTAAATTATACGAAATTCATTTGCTTTGTAGGGGGAAGTGTTTGCTCTGTTTGGAGACGTTCGTTATATAGAGAGGACCGCATTAAGACATCGGGTAATGGTCCTCCCTGGAGATGAATCAATTTGCTCTGGGTTTTATGGCCTCGCGTTTGTTTGTCCGCGCCGGTTCCCCGTGGAAAACCCGGAGAAGTAAGTGCTGCAGGGAGCAGATCTCTGGGGAAGGAGCTGGTGATGCTGGGCTGAGGTGAGAGCACAAGACGTCTCCAGATCAAAGGACACCCGTGTCTGCAAGAGATGTAAGCTGAGGCACCGCAGGCGTGCTGAGCTGGCGGGGAGAAATCCCCACTAACGGAGCTGCGCTTTCCCACTGGCCGCACACTGGCTGCGGGCCCCACGGGGACACGTACCCTGCTCAGCATGCCAGGGGATGGAGGGGGCGGGTGCCGGGCGCGGGGAGCCCGAGCAGCAGCGATGTCTATCGGTAATTCCCGCTAATAAAATACTTTTTCGCTATCCGCACTATAATTGGTTTACAGCCTTTTTTGTTTATTTATCCATAAGAGCTGCTGTTAAATGGCTCGGGAAAGCAATCGCTTAATGGCTCAATATTGAATCAAAGGCTCAGTGTGCTTTCTAAGAGATGAGGGACCCGCGTGAGTTCAGAGCGGAAACTCATTTTAAGTGTAATGGACTGGGCGGGTTTATGATCCCACGGAATCGGGCGCAGGAGCGAAGTACCGGGACTCTGCTGCCTCGCCGCTCGGGGTATGCATCGTCGCTGGCCGAGCCGAGCCAAACCGAGCCGGGCCGACCACACGTGCCCTACACGGAGGGGCGGGTGCGCGCCCCGACGGCTGCGGCGAAGCCCCGGTGTCGGGGGAAGCGGCGGAGAAAGGAGGCGGGCCGGGCACATAGGAAGCGTGCCTGCGCCCGAGCCGGAGAGAGCGGCGGCCGGGCCGAGTGCAGGGAGGCAGGGAAATGATCTTTGTCCCTTTCGGTAGCTCTCCGCCTCCTCATAGCCTCGTCACCTAGTCAACCAGCACCAGCTCGGAGCAGATTATCTCCAAGGGTCAACACATTGCAGCCCAAGCCGCGGGAAAGGCTCCCAAATTTACCCCTTGGGCAAACAATCCGCTGCCTATCGCTCGCTCTGGCGATAGCATTGTGGTCCTCACCGACAACATCCCCCCAGGCAGGGGTGAAAGGGCAAAAAGCCGGTCCTGGCCTTCACCCAGGGCTCTGGCATACGGGTCCCCCTGAGGAAGCGCCCGCTCGGCGCACTCTGCTCGTCCCCGGACACCGCATCCTTAGCCGAGATGCCCCTGCAGCCCGAAGTACCCTTATGCCAAGGAGCCAAATGTACCCAGCCCTGGGAGGGATTTCCTCTCCCTGCCCGAGGGGTGTTGGCTTATAAGCCGCTCCTGGGCAAGCGAGTGGAAGAGGGAAAAGGTGTGTTTAGGGACCATCCCTCCCGGAGCGCCCTGCACTTCGGGGCAATCCCCCGACTCCCTACCAGGCCCCGTAAATCCCTCGCCGCGGGGCTCCTCATCCCAAAGCAGGGAGCGGCACCCGGCAGAAGAGCAAGGGGTCCTGGGGCCGGACCGACTGAGAGCAAGAGGGTTGCGGGACCGGGGCCACACCGGGTGGCCTCTTACGGTTCGCGCCCCGCCCCGGAGGGCTGCGGGAGGGCTCACGTGGGGGAGAGGCGCCTATGGGGAGGCGGCGGGAGCCGGGCAGGGCGGTGGGGCCCGCGGGGCTGCCAGCTGTCAAAGAGGCATCCCGGGCTCCGGGAGAGGGAGCAGCCCTATGTGTCCCTAAGCTGAGAGAACCCCCTGACTCCGCTCGCCATGAATACCGAGGAGCAGTATTACGCCTCGGCGCAGCTCTACAAGGAGTCGTGCGCGTTTCAAAGAGCTCAGGCGCAGGACTACAACCCCAGCCCCCCCGCCTGCCTGTACATGGGCAGGCAGCAACAGACTCCTTATTCCAGCGCCTTAGGGGCTCTCGAACAAGGCAGCCCGCCAGACATTTCACCTTACGAGGTGCCCCCCATCACTGAGGATGCCGGGGTCTCCCACCTTCATCACCATCACCACCACGCTCATCTTCCTCCTCCCCACCAGGACGCGTTGCCTTTCTCAGACGGGGCGGACACGGGAGCTGTAGAGGAGCCCCGAGTGCAGGTGCCTTTCGCCTGGATGAAGTCCACCAAATCTCACGCCTGGAAGGGACAGTGGACCGGTAAGCCCCATCACCTCCCTCTGCCTCTGCTCCCCCGCTTCTCTCCCTCTCGGCGGTCAGGAACCCTCACTTGCACCGGTCCTGTTCCCACCGCTCGGATGTACTGTGGAGAGGTCCTGGAGGGTCGCTTCCCCTCAGCCCTCCCCTCAAGACCCGCTGCTCTGCGGCTGCTGCCGTTGGGTTTAACGCCGGGGAGGGAGCCGACACTCCAGTCCGTGCCGGCGGGCTCACCGCTCCCTGCGCCTGAGCAATTATTAACGAATTATTTTTCACCAATTAACTAATTGTGGCCAAGTTGAGACAATGTGCAAGTGCCTCCTGGGCGCTGCCGCCTCGCCGAGCACGGTGTGTCCGCGGGCGCGGTGAGCTCCGCGCGGGGGCCGGGTCCGCGGAGGGCGAGGCCAGGGGTGCGGAGGTACCTGCGAGGTGGAGCGGGCGGGGAGCGGCAGGCAGGGCTGGCGGGCAGGGGACAGCCCCCACCGTGCGGGCGCGGAGCAGCCCCCAAGCCCCCGGAGCAGCCGCCGATCCCCTTTCCGCTGCCTCTAGGCTTTTCTCTGTGCAGAGCCCATCTCCCGTCCTGGTCTCTCTCTCCCACCCCTCCTGCTTCCCGGTGGGTTTTAGCCATAATTGCACCTTTCCAAGTGAAAAAAACACGGCAGGGAAAACAATGCACAAACGAAACAGAGCTGCCAGTGAGAGGAAGAAACTCTATCTAGGCAGAAAGTTCCGCTGCCCAACAATATTTCTGTCTCTGCCCTCACAATGTTATCGTGTCCTGCGCCTCCGTCACACCTATAGGGCAAATATTATATTAATGGCTTTGTTCAAATAGACAGTTGAAAAAAGGACCGGAGTATTAAAATCACCATGAAATAGTTTGGGAATTGCATGGGACAGACCGAGGGGGAGGGAAGAACCGGCGGCGATCCCCAATCTCCAGGGAGGCGCATCTGCCGGCAAGGGTTAGGAGAGCACGCTGTCTCACGCCGCGGACACGGAGGCAGAGACTGTGCCAGTGAGGAGGAGGAGGGGAGGAGAGAAAATCAGATAATTTTCATTAAGTTGAATGTACTTCTGGAACAATAATATTACAAAAAAGAAAAAAAAAAAAAAGGAAAAAACCCAAACTTTTGAACTACATCTTCTTTCTCTGTCTCCTGTACCCAAGGAATGACAAAACCAGCAGAAAAGAGAAACTTTCCCCGTGGAAGCCTAAAACTCTCCCCTGTTCCCCCCAGCCCTCCCGGGAGGTGCAGGCAGGGGCCGTGCATTGCTCGGTCCGTGAGATGTGTGTACAGGCACACGCAGCACCGGGTCGTTCCTGCCGGAGCACTCCCGCAGACCTTAAGGGGCCCCGCGCTGTGCCGACGCAGCCCTCGTAGCCAAACCCCGACGTATTTTGTACTGTGTATGTGTCAAACTATATACCCCCAGGATTTATTTTTAGTGGAAACCCATGGAAGCTGCGGGGCTTTGCGTTGTTATTGACTGGGAAAGGCGACCAGAGAGGCCGCGGCCGAGCCCGGCCCTGTGCCACCCGCCGTGCCCGACTCCGGGCTCCGCCGCCGGCCCGGGGCATGCTGGCCGTCTCCTGGTGCCCGGCCTCCGACAGATCCCGGGCGTTACGCCTTCCCAGTAGCACTAGTTTATTTTACAGTAATAGAACAAATTTTTTTTTTCAGCTACAAACACATGCATAGTGGTTTATACATAGGTTTAGATTTACAAATATTTTTATACATATACACATTGATTTTAATATATATTTATGCATATACACACACAATAGGATTTTTATCTGTAAACATTACAGATATATTTAAATATATATTAAAATACATATATAAGTTTATATGCATAAGTTTATACTTACAAACACTGTATAAATAAATAAATATAAAATCATGGGAATAGAAAGATGAGCAGTGGGAGACTCCGCGTAGATCTCTTGAAATGACTGTGTCTTGCTGTCTGTTTAAATCACCGTTCCCTACAGACGATATCACCCCCGAAAGCGTGACCAGCTAGGGTCTGGAGCTGGCAAAAGCGTCCCGGAGTTTCAGTGCCCAGCTCCGGCCCCTCTCGATGAGCCGCCTCTATCACCTGCTCCCCAGTGCCGACGCAGGAGTGCGGCGGCCACGCTGGGAACGGCGATTGAGCTGCTGCCGCTTTTTACGGGAACAAGAAACCCAAAGTTTCACCAACCTGGCGAAACGAAGGGGCTCCAGTCCCGCTCCTGTCCCTGACGCGGCAGGCCCAACAATTATTGTTGCTTTGTTTTAGAGGGGTTTTTTTGGTGCGTTGGTTTCTTTGGAGTTTTGGGGGTGGTGGTGTTTTGGAGGGCTTATTTTTTTTCGTTTTGATTTCTCTGTGTGTGGTGGATCGTTGTTTGGTTTTCGTTAGGGGTTTTTTGTTGGTTTTTTTTTTGTTGTTTTGGTTTTGGGGTTTTTTTTTTTTTTTTTTTTTTTTTTTTAACACGAATGCAAGCAATCGTAACCCTGGATCCGGGACCCCTTCGGAGCTTTCTGTGACACGCAAGCGATGGCACGTGAGCGTCTCCCACAGCTCGAGGGACGGTGCTTCCCTGAAAATCTCATCCGAATTATTGTTAAAAAATATTAAATTATTATAAAATAAAATAGCAGCAGTTGTTACTGCCGCCACTAGCTCCACCTCACTGTGCCCAGCCAGAGAGCTCCTTGAGGCCTCTCCTTCACCCCGCTTGCTTCCCCTGCGTGTCCTCCACTCCGTGCAGAGGTGCAGGGATGTGGCCCCCCTAGCCCGATGGGGCACCTAGGCGGGCCGAGACTGACTCTCGCTTCTCTCCAGGGGGGTCCTGTGTAGTTGAACCAGAGGAGAACAAGCGGACGAGGACGGCGTACACGCGGGCACAGCTGCTGGAGCTGGAGAAGGAGTTTCTCTTCAACAAGTATATCTCCAGGCCGCGGCGGGTGGAGCTGGCTGTCATGTTGAACTTGACCGAAAGGCACATCAAGATCTGGTTCCAGAACAGGCGGATGAAGTGGAAGAAGGAAGAGGACAAAAAGCGCGGGGCGGGCAACAGCAATGACCCCGAGCAAGACTGCGTGGTGACCTCCGGAGAGCTCCAGAACAAGGAGGATCTCCAGCCGTGCCCCGCCGGGAACCTGACCTCGGAGGCCTCCAGGGACCTTCTCGCCCCCAGCCTAGCACCCAGAAGACAGCAGGACTCTCGATGAGGCGCGGGGAGCCCCACGCCCCGAGACGAGGAAAAGGATGGAATCGGGGAAAGAGGCGAGAGGCTGGCACAGGCTTCCCACCGCCCTGCTGTGCCGTGCCGTGCCGTGCCGACGCTCTCCTGCCTTCCCCCGGGGAATCTCTGCCTCCACTCCGACGCTCGCGTCCTCCGAAAACTAAATGTTCAGCTGTAACAAAGAGAGGCTCACTGTGGGCCGCAGGGCCGGAGTAGGCCTCAGGGAGCCGCCGAGACGGCGGCGAGCTGTGCCCCGCTCCCCCGAGCAACCCGCACCACAATGAGCCCTACGGGGCAGCTTCCCCTGGGGAAGGCGGGTTTCGGGTGGCCACCGACTGTGTGTGCAACCCTGGGTGCACGGAGTGGTCTGGGAAGCGGAGGAGAAACGAGAGCACGCCGCCTTACCTCGAACGGCTGCCCGGTCGGGGCGCGCGTCCCGCCGTGTCCGTCGGTTCACAAGCGCGGACGCGGAGCAGAGCATCCCGGACCATCCACGGGCTGGCACGCCGCCGTCCCCGTCCCTTCCAGTGGCACCAGGGCATCGGCTCTACCGAGGACTCCTCGGGACTGTTACTTACTCCTTTGGAAACTGGAATCTGGTTTCTTTCGTTCTCTTTTGTCTTTGGGAAAGAAAAGGGCGGGGGGTGCGGGGGAAGAAAGAAAAAAAAAAGGAGAGAAAAAGTTTAAATATTTAAAAAAAAAAAAAAAGAGCTTTAGTATCCTGCGGGCAGGATTTGACTACACCGATGATCTGTTCCCAATGACGGGCATAGGCAACCAGACCCTCCTCCGGGCTTAGCCAGCGGCTGTGGGGACTCTGCGCTGCCTGCCCGTGTCCGTCTGGGCTCCGCGGGGGACTCCGCGGTGCGCGAGGCTGCACTCGCCTCCTCGAGGGGCGAGTGCGAGCCCAGAGATGCAAAAGAAAATTCTCTGGTAATCTCCGGGAAACGAACAGAGGTAGATCGGGCTGCGAGCCCAGAGTGGGACGTATCTGGGGGGCTAGGGTTGGTCCCAGGTACATTGTCCTTTGAGGAAAAGCTCTTGCCTCTCTTCCAACCCTTCCGCAAGCTCGGATTCTGCCTTAGAGAGGAGAAACCTCCTTGCAGCACAAGCTACTGTCCCCCAGCTAGGCTCCGCGTGGTTTTTCTCTGCAGACACGCCAGCAGAGGCTGGGGGCCCTCTGCCTCCCGAGGCACTGCAGAGCACCGAAGACTTTTCCTGGGTGTTATTTTTGTCCCATCCTGGCGTGTGGGAAAGGCCAGCTCCTCCGGACTGGAGAGGAGAGAGAGCCTGGCCGGGGCTTCCCTGCGGGGAAACCCTCTGCGGGGTGTTGCGGGGGCCCGCACCGGCCGCCCCGGGCCAAGCCTTCTGTGCCATAAGGAACAGCTTCCCCGTCCCGATAACGACGAGAATTTCAACTAAGTGGGGAACAAATCACATCCAAACTATAAACAGAAAACAACCCTTGGAAGGAAGCAGGAACTGTCCGGTTTTCTGTCAGTCAGGAGGATCTGCCTCCTCTCCTCGACGGAGAGGTTACTGCCCTGTACCCAGCAGCAGCAGCCACTCGAACATCCCTCGGGGACTGCCACAATCCCTCCCGCGCTGAGGGCCCGGGCCATGGGAGGAAGAAAAGGGGGAGGAGGAAGACAACCTGTCACACCCTGACCAGACAATGATACCAGTCCCTCCGCTGAAAACGAGGGGGAGAGGAAGTAGCTTGGCACACCTCTTTGGTTTTTTTCCCGTCTTACATGAGAGTTTTAACACTAAGGGGGAGACTCGAACTGAAGCTGTAATTTGTTGCTTTTCTTTCCTTTGGGGACATTAAGGTCTGTGTGCAAACAGGAGCATTTCTGGTAATTTTTCCTGCAACATGCCTGAGAAATTTATCATCCGAGACTGTATATCCTTATTCATCAAAACGCATTCAATGAGTGAGAACTTTTACTAATGATTATATAAGCAAAATTCGAATAAAGTTGTTCTGCTTAAGAAGCAAAACACCATAGTAATTAAAGTAATATTTCTTAAATTTTTGGGGGACATGAAACCCTTTTTAAACCTCAGTATTTCTAATCACTACTCATTAACATTAATCTGTCACTTGTAACATGCAGTGGAACAATTTCCACATACCTTTTACAATGTCTGGCACTGACAGGCAATTGCAATTTGGGAGCCACTATGAAAACAGACCTAGCTGCAGGAAGTATGTCTTCCACAAAAAATACCACGATCTTATGCTATGATTTGTAGAGCCCATTGGCCTGGGTGAGCAGCATACACTGTGGCTGAAGTGTTGCCTGTCCTTTCTGTAGTATAGTGCATTCAGTTTCGATTTTCTTTGTGCACTCATGTGAAAACAAAGAACTCACACAATTTATTTGAATCGTTTGTCCACAGTATCAAGGTAGTATTTTTATTAGTAGAAGCAGAATCAGACCTGTATAGTTTAGTTTTAATAAAGTATTTTTTTTCTGAGAGTTGGCATAGTTTATGGGTTTAGCACATACACACACATGCACACACATATATATATATTCACCTTTTTACAACTGCACCAATGGAACAATTAACATTAACTAAATCAAGACAGTTCTGGAATCTTGTAGAGCTAAAGATTCATGGTAACTTCACCTGACAGAACAGCCAACCCTACACAGTGCTGGAAAAAGGCAAGACTGACATGGAGAGTCATGCCATCTCACCAAAAATAGTTGTTCAGATACATCCATCTTCCTAGGAGACACCTCCCCTTATGAAATAGTTTGTGATCTGTATGTAATCACCGTTAACCTCAGGATAGGATTTCCACAAACATTCTAAAAATACTTTTAAAATTAGGCAAGAGATGAAAAGTGTGAGATGTCTTTTTATTTCCTTCTTGGGCAACAGTGAAATCCTTTAGGTAGGTGTGGGAGAGGTATGTCCCCAAGACTCATAAGTGTTCAGTGTTAATTATTTTAAAGAAAAGCTGAACTAGATTATGGGCAATTTCCCCCTCCCTGGCTCTGGCATCCACTGCACCACAAACTATGGAGACATCAGTTCTATCTATGTCTTCAGGGAAGATAGTGAGGATGAAAATCTTGACTGAGCTTCACACAGGCAACATCTTTGCTCAGATACATCCCCCAACACTTCAGTGAAAGTGTTCTCCTGCTTCTGCACTACTGAGACATTGCCTGTTATTCCATGAAAGGCCACAAGGCAGAACCTCTCCTTTTTCCAAGCAGAGCTGAGCATCGAAGGTGAATGGCACACAGCTAGGCCAAACTTGGCAGGAGTTTGGGGCTGCTGGCATCTGGGAAGCTACATCTGCAGCTCTGGTTGGGGCCTCTGCTTTGGCTGAGGCTGAGCAAGAGAAACAGGAGCTCATGCACACTCTGTGCTGACCCCTGTTTTACCTCCTCCCCCTGGGATGATGTTCCACGACCCTGCAGTAATGGCCATATGAAAAGTAGGATTGCAAGACTGTACTTGTCTCCTCCATTACAAACCCATATGTTTGCCTGGAAATCCCTCCATTTATGAATAATTATTTCCATAAATCAATTCTGAAAGCAGTGATTTAACCTAAGGTGTGAAAGTCTTTCCAGTCTGACACTGTACCTGCTACCTCCCACGCTGTGGTTGCTGCTGCTGCTATGATCACAGCTGAGGAGAAGTGTTGCAGGCTGAGAGAAGAAAAATTGCTCAGGAAGACTTCAGTGATTTGAAGTGCAACAAGGGATGGGATGTTAGCCCTGCAATGACCACCAAAGCAGGGACTGGTGGCCTGGGCAGTGCATGTGTAGTCTGTTCTCCAGATGGGACAGAGTTGGCTGGGGGTTAAATGCTGGGGTTCAAGGCTTGTTTTGGGAATAGAAAGAAATGCCATTGGGTTCCCTTCATTCTTGATAGCTTATAGGGTTATTCTTATGAGACCTCTTCACATAAGCATAGGCAACCCATGCAAACACACATGCAAACACATGGCTTCCAATAAACTGTGACTCAGAAAGGCAGTTCTCTCCCTGCTTTCTTCTACTCTGGATGGGGATAAGAATGGCCAGATCTTCAAGGATATTTTTATATCAGACACATTTTTATATGTGTCTGGTTTAGCATCTAGGGAGGAAAATGAAACATGGAAACACATACTAGCAGTGAACATTATCTACTTTCACTTATCTACTACTTACATTATCTACTACTTACAAAATATAACATTTATATTTTATCTTCCTTGCTACTGTCCCACTGGCTTCCAGCACCCTTTGCAGTATCTTTCTGTGCACCTTGCCAGCACCCATGTGCCCCAGCTGTGCTTTAGCTGCGAGCACAAAGAATGGTGGAGAAAGTGCATGGAGGAAGGTAAGGTTTCTCCTAGCCTCCACCTTTCTCCACCTCTTCTCCTCCTACCACTCGCTGTCCTGGTATGCAGCTCCTCTGTTCCCTAGTGCTTTTGGGATCACAACATGTGCAGGAACAAATAAAATGCAAAGGAAATGAGCTGAGTCCCTCTCTTTCTCCAGAGTGCCTCAGTGATGAGTCAGGCCTGGCCAGCCTCATTCATGCGGCAGGAAATTCAAACACGTGGTTCCTCTACTATAAGGTCCAACACACTTGCTGCCTCATATCAGGGCTTGTTCCAGAAATCATTTGCTTCCAGCATCAGCACCACTGGAAGGATAAAGGCTGCAGTTGTGCTGCATCCCCATGAGGTGCCTTTAGGCATGTTCACAGGAGCCTTGATGTCTGGTTCCATCTGTCAGGATTCACTGGGCATAAGAGGCAGGGGCCTTGTCAAACAGGCATGTTCTTCACAAACAACCCAAAAACACGTTGGAAGGGAAGAAATTCAAGAGATGAGGGTGAGCTAGACCAACAGATCAGGAACAGAAGCATCTCAAGTAGGTGTGGAACACTGGCAAAGAGGGGGTTGCTGGGCTTTGTCTCGTGAAAGAGCTGGTCTGGGTATAATGAGCTGGTGACAATGGCAGCTTCATTTTCTCCCTGTTCTTTGACCCAGGCTGAGGAGGAGAATAGCATCTGCTCAAAGAAACCTTGGTACAGTGTCCTTAAGATCAAAAAGTAAAATACATCTGGCAGGCTCAGAAAGCAGAGGTTATAATGGTTTGTGTCTCCACTCTCAGGGCTAAACTTGATAGAGGATACTGGAAAAGTTGTCTCCAAGAGTGACTGGTAGCATGTTAGTATTTTGTTTGAGCAGGAGCAATGTGTGCCATTATTTATTTAGCTTTTTGCATGCTTTGGACATTCCCTGTGGACCTCAAAGCACTGAACAGAGGCAGGCAAGGATTAGTGACTTCACCAGTGTAAGAAAAAGTTAGAAACAGGAAACAGAGCTCCCTTTGGAGACAACACAGGATACCCACAACCCTTGCTGGGAGACCAAGCTATCTCAGGACCAAGGTGGAGCTAGGGTAGAGTTACCAGGTACTGGACTGCGCAGAGACCTGTGTTTGAACACCATTTCCCTGGGCCCAAACCCTTCTCCAGGGAAAAGCAAACAGTTACCTGCTGGAAGCCTCAGCTGGGCGTGGCATCTTAGGGCTCCAAGCCATGTTTTGAACACAACCCCTCTTGGAGAGGAGGCTATACCT